CAGCATAATTCCTTGCCATGATGCTAGTCTCCGCCGCGTCAGTGTACACGTCGCATCCTACAAGGCTAGCAACATAAATATAAGACAGGTTGACCGCTATCTGCCTACATACCCATCCCTCGCATACAAGCACAGGATCATACATAGAATTGAAACCCGCCGCCTGTCAGCAAACCACCTCATAATCCGAAACGTACATGAATCCCTCTTGCACAACTCCTCCTCCGAGTCTCGCTTTTGGACTGCACACAATAAAAGGAATAAGCAATGTTGGAAAAATGGTAACGTGTAAATGAGCTTCATATGGAGGGATGGATAGAATGGTACTATGAGAACAGCCAGTCCGGATCTTTGAGACGTAGGACCAGTATAGCCCGGTTTGTTGCGAGTAAGAAGAAGACGCGAAAACAGTGGTATGGAAAGGAAAAGTATCGCAGCACAAGATGGTCCCGGGCGCCTGTCCACCAAACTGACGCAATAGCCGCCGCTCTGTAGCTTCGAGTGTGGTATATTAGGTTGGCCAGCGCAATGTCGCAAGGTCAAACTTCTCCTGTGGAGGGTGTAGTGGGTATGATAAACAGACATTTTCGGAATCGAGTTCGTGGGACGGCCAGATTAGGTATACGTGCATGCGGGCCGTGGTCCACAACTGTGTATCGTAACATAACGTTGCATGCATCAACGCCGTTCGCTTATGCCCAAATACGTAGCTGTAGGTCGTTAGCTAGCTGCAAACCAAACGCTGTGTGGCTAGACTTACCATTGAGTCCCATGAACCGGTGCACAGACTAAGCGCATCGTTGCTGACACCCAAACAGCTGACACGATTGTCGTGCCCTTGTAGCGTACCGACGCGCTCACCGCGGAGAACGTCCCATACCTACAGGGTTGTTAGATAGGAGTCTGCGTACAATGATGCAAATGCTTACCTTGCACTCGAAATCATCATAACCAGCGAACAAAAGACGACCAGATACAGAGAAAGCAACGGAAGTGATACCGCAGACGGGCTCGGGAATCTAGAAATAACCAATCAGTATGATAATACACTGTAGCTGCTGAGAATTTGCACATACCTGGTAAGAAGCAAGCTCACGATCAGCGCGGATGTCGAAAAGACGGCAGGAAGCGTCATCAGATCCTGTACCGAAAGCGTTTCCGTTAGGGAAGAACTGGATAGCATTGATGTCGGAGTCGTGAGCGGCAAAAGTCTGCACACACTTCTGCTGACGGATATCCCACAGCTTAGCGAAAGCATCGCAAGCACCAGAGACAAACTGGTTGTGGTCGAGAGGGTTGATGCTCAAGCTCATGACATCGCCGAGGTGGTCGGCGAACTCGTGCACCTTGGAACCAGTCTCCAGATCCCAAAGCACACAGGTCATATCACCAGAAGAAGTCAGAATGCGCTTGTCACTGATGAATCTGCAGCAGGAAAGGTATCCTGAGTGACCGGACAGCTCTCGTGCAACGCGTGTAGGGCCTTCCCGTGCCGACAGGTTGTAGATGGAGCAGATGTTGTCGAGACCACCACACGCCACGTAGTTTCCAGACGGCGAGTAGGCGCAGGTCATGACCCATGACGACCTCAGAGGGATGGCGTGTACCTTGTTTGTTGTGTATGCATCCCAGATGATCAGCTTGCCGTCCTGGGAGGCAGAGACGAGATGTCGGCGGTCTGTGGACCAGTGCATAGCATAGATCTTGGCAAGATGGCCCTTGAGGGTGCGCTTCGTCTTCATCGCAAGGCGCGGCAGGGCCTCGACACGGTCGCGGGCGACATCGCGGACTGCACACATTTGTTAGCAGCGAGGCATGAGTGAGTGCAGTGCGATGCAGTGCGGTGGCGCGGCGCTGCAGGCGAGAGACGTACGGGTTGTATCAGCAAGCTCGTCCTTCTTGCGCTTTATCCTGTCCTTCAGGGCCTCGGCGTCGCGCCGTGCGACCTGAATTTTTTGCTGGATAGACTCTTGATTCATATCGGCCATGCTACTATCTAGCTACCGAGAAGAGAGGGAGAGGGTGTCGCGGCGGGCGCGCGAGCGAAAGCGGCGAGGCAGGCAAATCCAGGGGCCTCGCAGGGAGCGCAGTAGACGGGCACCAAGAGGTAGGCAAGCAGAGGCAGCGGGCGTGCAGAGGCGGCAATGGCGACGGGCGCGCGCGGTGCAGCTGCAATTGCGTGCGCAGGGAGGTGATGGGGCGGCGGAGAGTGTGGTGGTGGAGAGGGCTGCGGGAGGTGAACGAAGTGAGGTACGCAGACGGACGCTTGGCTAGGCCGAGAGACACCAGACACAGCTGGGCTGGGGTCAAAGGAAGAGCTGCTGTCTGCCGGGATACCGCAACAATGGGCTGCGCGGCTGGCGAACAATGCGGGGCTGACTGAGCGGAAGCCGTCTGCGTGCAGTGCGTCGTCAGCGATAATTGATTCAGTCGACTCTGCTGTTGTGCTGCCACGAGAACGAGAATTGCACTCAAGCTGTGCAGTGTGCTCTTTCACCTGACAAAGAAGGCGCGCGCAATCTCCTGCTCGCACCTCCTCCTTTCAGCACCTGCCCCTGATTCGCCGGACCCCAGCAAGCGCGACCTGGACGGGCCGCTGCTATCCCAAACCGCATCACCTCCAGGCGCCGCTCCGAAGTCTATTGTTTTCGATTTGCACTTCGAGAACGTCAACAGCGCCACCAATACTGGCCTCAATTGCAGTCATGACTGCTGTGCCTTTGAAAGAGCAGTCTTTTGCCCATCGCCTGCCCAAGATTGAAGTGAGCTGCACCAGACCAGCCTCCTCCAGGCCGGCCAGCGCTTGGGCGACCGTTCGCAGCACTAACCGCGCTGACTCAGTTGCACGCACACCTAACCGGCAGCATCAGCCGCGCATGTCTACACAGCATCTGGGAGACCGTCAAGGGCCGCGACGCTGCATTCGATGTCCAGGATCCGCTCACAGCTATTCCCACAGACAAAGTCGACTACGACCTCGAGACGTATGGGCCCTCAATATTCCATTTTACTCATTTGGTGCCACGATTCATGTTCCGTCTCCTATTGCCACAGCGAGCTAGCAGATTTATCAGCCATATCCCGAGGCTCATTTCTCTGATACAGTTCTTGTGGTTCCCTGCGCTGTCTGATTTATTGACTTAATCAAACGGGATTGTAGTCGGCAGCCAATGTACTGACAGACAGCGCAGTTTCTTTCCGCTGTTCTCGTCGTACATCTATAAGCTGTGCAGCGATCTCCCGAGCATAGAGTATGTCTTGTCTAGACCGTTGTCGTGACTGCCATTGACTGCAAGAAGATACTCTACAAATGCAGTTCTGCAGGATTTTCAAGCAGACGGCGTGGTTTACCTAGAATTGCGCACGACGCCGCGAGCTATACCTGAAAAAGGTATAACCAAAGACGACTATGTCAAGGCTGTTCTGAACGTCTTGAATGCATGGAACCAGGATAAGGCCAATACGCTACGAGCGTATCTGATCCTTTCCGTTGACCGGCGCAACAACATTGCCCAAGCAGAGGAAGTTGTCGACCTATGCATAAAGTATTCATCGACAGGTGTTGTAGGCATCGACCTCTGTGGTGATCCAGCTAAGGGAGATGTACGCATCTTCGCCGACTCGTTTGCGAGAGCGAAAGCCGCAGGCTTAAAGATGACCCTGCATTTTGCAGAAGCAGAGGTCTCCGCTTCTGACATAGAATTAGAGACGCTCTTGTCGTGGAAGCCAGATCGACTGGGTCATGTCATCCACGTGAAAGACAGGTACTGTGAAATTATAAAGCAAGGCAACATCGGCGTCGAACTGTGCTTGAGCTGCAATGTACACGCCAGGATGATCACAGGAACTTACAGCGATCACCACTTCGGCATGTGGAGACACACGAACGTTCCAGTGGCCCTCTCCGTATGTTTTTGTTTGCTTCTTTTGAGCTTTGCTGACCGTTACATAGACCGACGACGTTGGCGTATTTTGCAGCCCGCTTTCGAACGAGTATGCGCTAGCCATGGAGCATTTCGATCTCAGCCGCGCAGAGATTCGGACGCTCTGTACGGGGGTCATCGATTCGATCTTCACTGGCGATGACGAGAAAGACCGACTCCGTTTGATGTATGCTGAATGGGACGGCTGGGCAATCTAGAATCAAGAGTATAATGAGGGTCATATGCAGATCAACCTCCGCCAATCTTCAGACATGAAATCTCATGCAATGCACCCATTACGTTGTTTTCGCTGCTTTCTCTGTCTCGCACAGCCATCTGGTCTTGCGCGAAGGAACGCATCGGCGTGTGGAGTAGTCACAGGAATTGTGGAGTCGTCATGCAAACTACTCCGAAGTCACGGATGTCAAGGAGTGCTAGTTGACACTGTGTTCATTCTGTTTGATTAGCAGTCCCGCAGATGTATGACAGGATCAGCCGTTCACCTTGCGGAGAGGTGCTTTGCAACGAAGCTTGGTTCTTTGCCTACGCGCATGGAGTCCAATCACCGGACGTAATCCTTGATTACATAAGACTACACTTTTGCGGACCAGGGCAGAGAGACTAATTAAAATGATGGGTTGCATAGCGACGAGGGTAGAGCTGTATATTTGTCATGCAGCTTGACTTCTCGAGATCCTCTGTCGAACATGCTCACAAAGCGAGGGAGCAGAGGTAACGTATGTGGTATTTTGCGCGAGCGGCTCTGTTTGAGTGATGATGCCGAGTATCATAAAAGTGCCAGCTTGAGCCTATCTTGTTCCAAGCACGCTGAAGTGGGTCAGGTAGGTAGTCGAAGTACGCAACTACAATGTGTCGGTCACACTGTGACTGTGTGGCTGATTGTAGGGCTGGAACTGCTAGGCATCAGCTTGGGGCCACCCTCCAAAGCCCGTGATTCAATATGAGACGCCATCGACCCACATTGCATTGAGTAACATGCCAAAGGATCTAGCTGCAAGCATATGACACGTGTGCTTCATATTGTTAAATGTTTGCCACATCCTTATCGATAAAAGCGGCCTCATGGTCTAGTGGGTAAGCATCACCAACACCACATCTCCTCAATACACATCTCTAACATTCATCCAGTATGATTCTTGCTTTGGGTTCTAAACTCAAACTTGCAAGAGGCCCCGCGTTCGAATCGCGGTGGGGCCCGTTTCTTTTGCGTCTTTTTTTTGGACCCGGGTGGTGGAGTAAGGGGGGCGTGTCGCTTACCGCACTGCATCTTACCCACCAATCATCTTTTTGCATCACTCTGCGTCGTTGCTGAGGGAGATTGGCTGGTAGTTTCGGCACTGCGGGAAGGTAGGCTATGAATATGTTGTGTGAAGAGATAATTTCTATAGCGACTGTGTAACAGAGAGTGGCCGTTGTTGTGTACAGAAACAAAACAATCTCTACCCCTAGAACGCCAAACGGATACATTACGAATACAAAAACATCTCGAGTCTGCCCTTGCTCAGTCCCGTAGTCAGTCTCCAATACCTTTCGTATAGTTTAGTATGCACGGCGGTCATACATGTCATAGCCCCCGTAGCCGCCCGCCCTGTCATATTCGCTTACCCGCCTTCCATGCAACGGTCTCCGCTTATCCTTGAGCTGCTCAATGGCATCAACAAGTTCATCAAGATTAACCCCATCCTGTGAAGGTCGATCTGAAAGATAGCGTTGCTCACGGTGCCCATACATAGAGTCATGTAGCTCTGGAGCATACGTAGTCGAGCGAAGAAGACGAGGTGGATGGCGTGTGGTGTCGAAGGGGTTGCTGTGTGGAGTCTGCACACTACTGCGCCGATGGGCACTGGGTCTGGGAGCGTACAAAGGCTCATCATGGTACATATTATGCTGTCGAGGATCCCGAGGGTAGTCGACTGGTGCTGGGTAAGCGCTCCTGCGGGGGTGAGATTCCACGTTGTCGTAGATATGGCTTGGGTGAGGATAGTGCACGTTTTCTTGTCGTGGTGGAAGATTGCGCGATCGCATCTTTGGGGAGTGGTCGATGATGTCGGAGTGGTGTCGACTCCTGCGGCCATGGTGTTCAGGTTCTGAGAACACGCTGTCGTCGGCCGTGTGGATAGAAGAGTTGTCGTTGAAGGAGGCAGTGCCGCTGTGGCGATCCCAGGAGTTGCCGCGCGACATGGGCTCGGCAGAGTATTTGTCTTTCCTGTAGTCGGGAGATGATGTGCCATGGCTATCACGTCGGATGCGTTCATTTGCGCGTGTCGGCTTCTCATTTGTGGCAGTGGGTATGTGAATATGAATGTGCTGCTTCGAAGAACGGGGCGAGCTATGCTTTGATGAAACAGGGCTGTACTTGCCCATTGGTGGTGGTTCGATTCGATCGGACCCGTGTCGCTTCTTGAATGTCTCCGTACGAGCCCGGCTCCTGCTACGGCTTCTGGTCTTACTCAGTGACTTGTTGTGTCGAGACTTCTTCGACCGCGAAGAGTGCCTTGATCGGCCGCGTTTAGGCTTGCCTATGTGAGCGAACTCCCCGTGATCAACATGGCGGATGCGGAACCGATCAGAAGCTGAGTCCCCTGTCTCAGACTCCCAATCGTCACTATTGGAGTCCGATTCGGAGTCCGATTCATCGTATCGATCTTGGACCTTCTTCTGCTTTCTCAGGACGGAGGGGTCGACAATGTTGACGGTCGGCTGCGCCTGTCTTATGATCGGGCGAGGGTTAGCTTCTGGGAATGCTCCAGGCATCATTCGAGGCTGCTGTTGTCCAGGCATTGTTTGACGTGGCATATTGATGGCAGTACCTGGAGGCGGAGGTGGCGGGTGCGGAAGATTTGATGCACCGGGCGGTGGCGGCGGTGGCGGTGGATGCGAATGGAAGTTTGATGCACCTGCTGGCGGTGGTGGCGGCGGCGGTGGAGGAGCACCTTGGCTAAGGTGAGATTGACCATGATGTTGCACGATTCGCGTTGGCTGTACTGTGCTCTGCTGGTGACCCATTGAAATTTGAGCAGAGGGAGGAGGGGGGTTTCTCTGCAGCTGTGGAACCTCGTGGCTTCCCTGGTTGGACTGATGTGCAAACGTTTGACCCTGGTGGGCATGTTGAGCTTTTGGCCCCATGGCAGTAGCTTTTACGGTGTTGGGGTCGTCATATCCAGACGGCTCTGTTTGCAGGATGACATTGATGCGTTGGAGCTGTTTCTTGTTACGACTGATGGGCTTCCACTTGATATCTATGCTAGCAATAGTCCACCGCAAGGTCCTGTTGATGGCCATAAGGGTTTGGTTCTGCTCCTCAACGAGTTCGTTGATTAGACGCCGGGCATTGCTTGAGGTGATATCTTCCATGACGCGCTTCACTGTGGTCTTGTTCCTTTGGAACTTCTTGACGTCGCTCAGAAGATCCTGGGCATTGACGTACTGCTGCTCGGCTTCGACATCTGCCCAGCTTTCATCCCCTCTTTGTCTCTCGAACGTGAACAGAGCCAGCTGAGGATCGTAATTGGCAAACGCATTGGGCGATTGGTTTTGCCCTTGCAGGCCTATTTGCTGAGTCATTGCCGGTCCTTGCTGTTGCGCAATAGGAACTTGTCGCTGGAGTCCGACATTCTGGTGAGACGACATCTGTGGCTGATGCTGGCTTCCGAGTTGGTGAGCCATTTCAGGGTATGGAACGATGACCAAGATCTGCTGAAGAATTGTTTGCAGTCAAACAGCAGGGCAACCATGAAAGTCGCTACGAGGGTCGAAGACTCCTTCCTATGAGTGGGAATGGAAATTGTACAACAATTCTGATGGATCAGGGCAAAGTGAAGAGCTCGAAGGCTCTATATAGACCTGGCCGTATATTATGTGCTACTTCAAGATGTGGACATTGCCCTCCATCCACAGCGATGGTAGCACCATCTTGATGCAGCAGGGGTGGACAGCAGGTCCTCCCCGGGCTTCGGCTGAAAACTTACTTGTTGCTATTCGACATAGCAAATACCTGCCTATTGGTTACAAACGAGCCGTTCGCACGCCCCGTCTAAGCAGTGGCTGCGAAGGCACTGACCGGCCAAAAACCCTAGGCTGTGACCATGTGCCAGCAGCCTAGGCAGACCAAAACAGTGCCCGACCAGTGACAGCAGCTCTCGCTGCATGGCAGAGCCTCATGTGCTCACCGGATGCGTAATGAGTCCTTCATACCAGCCTGCAGCCCAGACAGACGTGCAGCGTAGAGCAGTAAATTGGTTGGTCTGCTTTGCCCTCGCTGCAGGCTGAAAGCCTGATTGATGCCATGGAGGGCTTCGTGCATCCAAGCGTCTCACTAAATCCGGTGGTCCTGTCGGTACGGATGCAGTGATGAACCATATCCTCCGGCCATCTTCAAGAGTGTCGCTGATATCGGCAGACGTTGGCAGCCGTTGGCAGTGAGGTGGAAGCGAACCAGAGGCCGCATGGGCCTCGCTCTGTCCCGTGGTGCGCCAACCATGACGGACTTCCCGCGTTCGTTGCCCTGTCAAGAAGGCAACTGACTACAACACACGCCAAAATCTTTTTGACATTTGCCTGACGCCCTGATGCTAGGTTCGTACTTAGAACGCCTGATACACCTGCATGATTGCTTGCCCTCGCGCTCGCCAACGCATCTGTCCTCAAACAAGGTCAATAACGTCCGATTTGCCTGACGCTAAAGATAACCACGGAGCTCAGCGCACGCATAGTAGTGTGTCTGCGAGCGAGAACAGAATCGCTTCATTGGAGCAGAGCTGTCTATTCAAGCGTGCAAAGCATCGAGTACTGATGCTGATGGAAGACCATCACCTAGTGCCATAAGACCAATGCCTCCAGTGCCGCTCGCAACGGATCCGGATCGTTATGCGTTTGAAACCAAAAGATAGCATCATATAGACACCGATAGCTGCGAACGGGTTCGCAGTGTGCGCTGTCGATCTTTGCTTGCGTTGCAGGTCTGCAGCCGCGTACACAGCCATGTGGGCGTTTGACGCCCCGCACTGCACGCTGTCATGCCCTCCAATACCATCACCGAACTCGAGCCAATAGCCATAGAGGCGGCATAGAAACGACGCAACCGAAGGATTCGGATACTATGGCTGCCTTCTGAGAACACCGGACGACTTGCAGGTTCCGTGGTCGCACACATCCAACTGGAGGATTCGTTCTTCAGCCTTATGGCTACTACTGGTCCGACAGTATCACCATGGCTGAGGTATCCAATCTCATAGGTCGAAGCGGACGTACGCAGTGGGATCTGTAAATTCTCGTGTAACAGATTGGGGGCCCGTCCCACCGGACGGTGCGAGCCGCCCAGTTTTCCTTCACCGTGCCGTCCCAGAATCCTTCGCTTGACAGTCTCCGTTCGGACCGTCATTCAGTGTCCTCGCTAGCCCGCCCAGTTTAGATGACAAGACGACGATCGACTCGGATCCGCGCTACCGAGATAGAGCTGGCAGCTGATCAAGAGGCCTCATCTTGGTAGTGGTCGATACGCACTAAGTTTCTCGGTTATCTTTGACAGCTGTAAGCATGTGCGAAACTGGCTCATGAGTTAGCGGTATGCTGCAGCGATGTTCCAGTCGACATTTGTTCCTCTGTAACCTCAAGACAGGGAATCAAGCACATCATCCGGCTCTGACAGTGTCATGCACTTATTCGTATGTGCTGGCACCAGTACTGTGAGCGTGTCGTCCCTAAATAAGCTACTAAACAGCCAGGAACGTTGTCTCGGCTTGGGACCATGCCCCAAGAAATATATGGTGTTCCGCTTTTGTGGGTGATTCCTGACACAGTGTCCAGACAACAAGCAACATCGAATGCTTAGTTACTGAAATGGGATAGATGATACGACATCGCACAGCTGACAATGTCAAGAGGCCTCCATACGAACAAGAAATACTGTTATGGACTAAGTCATTTGATCATTGCGCGTATCTTCACCCTTGTCTCATCATCGTCTGAGAGCAGGACTGACGACAGCATGGAATCCCCACATCTGCCACCAGGTATGATCTTGCGCCTGTAATGTTGATCGCCAAATCACATGCTATATACCAGAAATGAAGAGACCTCTGTCTGCAGCTTGAATCCGACAACTCCTGTGGTCAAAACCTTCGTTGTAGCGGTGAAATAGCCCGCGCGGCAGCCTGGACCGTATTCGTAGGACCAAGCGATCTCTGTGCAACCAAAGC